CTGCAGGTAAACCTCAAAACAAAACTGAGGTTAAAACATCTGCTTGAGAACGACCGTGAGTTATATTCTGCATTTTACTGGTTTGTTCACAAAGTAAGTTCACCAGTAAGAAAAACAAGCTACAGGTATTTATTCTAAATAAGACCAGTCATATTTATACACATTTCATGTTAGGACCTACAGATACATTGAGAGATTGAGAGGTAAATAAAAGACAAAGAGTAAAGTGCAGTATAGTGAATGTGAACTTATGAGTTAGTATGTTTTAGTTTCAGGGGGGAAAGTCAAGCATGTTGAGATAAACAATGAGCTCATACCAGTATTACTGGGCAAACTGTTATATACCGTTTGATTGTTTGTTGTCAAGCAAAGGGACAAACAAGGGGAATAACATACAACAAAGCACAAGAATAAACCCAGGATGTGGTGGTGATGATGTGATATGTGTCTTCACCACTCGGTCACCTGGATGCGACATCAACAGCTCTCTATGACTGGACATCATTCTTCATTTATCCATCTTCATCAAGGGAAAATTTCTAAGCCACACTTTCTGTTTCAGCTCATCCCCTCCACCAGCAGCTCCACTGGACCATGATGTGTCTACTGCCTTCCTCACAGACACTTTTGAATTAGTAAATAAGTTGTGAATACTTGTAAGTTAGTGTTATTTAGCACTGATTCCCCTTTAGGGATGAATAAAGTTATTTGTCTCCATCTTGCCTTCTCAAAATTTAACTCAAAACTGCTTAGTGTGAATGACACAGTTTGTTTCATGATGTGACCTTACTGATGCATTATGCTGTAATTCCCTTTGGACGCACTTCTGGTAGCAGATGCAACTTCTTACAGTTGTTCACATGTGTTTGGCCACTGCCCAGATGTGCCTCCAAACTGTGCTTGGGTTGCACTGCACTTTAGACTTCATATCTAAACTCTTATCCTCCTAGCTTCGTCACAGGAGATTATCTTGTTTACGCCAGCGTGGGACGGTAACTTTAACTACATCCTCCTATCTGGGATCAGTTCCTCGATCTGCTTTGAGTATGAGCAAACATTTCAGTCAGGAGATCGCTGCTTCCTCTGTGATCCAAGCCTTTAACTGTAAGTGATCTACAGATATATATTTCAAATATAACATTCGTCATATTTTAACATTTTGTAATGTCTGTTGACAGTGATTGTGTTTTAAAATGAAATTTCAACAACAGTTTCAAAATCAGTGTGCAAGTATGTACAGCAAGTGCATCCAGTGGGAAGTAAGTTCAATAGCAGCATGAGAAAAAAGGCAGGTTTCCACTCAAACTCTCTCAATATTTGGATATGTACATGTAACAAACATATACAGAGAGAGAGAGAGAGAGAGAGAGAGAGTATTCATGTGTGTAGACTGCAGCCAGTGTAGCCATCCCATAGTTCTCTTTTCTTTCTAAAACTGGGAACATGATGTGATGAAGCAAAGTCTCCTGTTGTCTCACAGGTGTATTTTAAGAGCAGAGCATAGGTCTCAGTGGCGGAAGAACACAATGCAAAAACGTAAAAATACTCCATTACAAGTCATCATACAAAATCAAATGTAGCACCTGGCTGGCAGACAGGTTGACCTCAGCCATGCCTGGTAACATGACCAGCTAATAAGACCCACTCGTCACAGCCATCAGCTGACTTCTGAGGGAGACTGCGCGCTGCGGTCGAAACATGTCAAGGCAACATTAGAAAAAATGTCCTTTGTTCAAAAAGAAGAAGCAAAAAACGAATGACTGATTCAGTTTAACTAGAAAATCTCTATTCATTTTACACTGAAACAAGTGCTTCCTCTTGGTCCTATTGATTACTAGGCCTACAGCTCCCTTTCTATGTAACAATGTACCACAAACTTAATCTGGCACTGTCGATTTTGTTCCACATTCCCTCCTCACATTACACTGCTCAGGGAAACACAAATACAAGAGACTTGTTTTCTTCCTATAAAGACTGCAGCAGCAGGAGATCCTATACTTAAATGAAGTACATTTTTGCACAGAGTGATTTGTGTCCTCTCCCATTAGACAGGAAATAGAATGTGTAACCGCCAGTGTGATCAACAGGGGTTATTCCAGTAAGCACTAAGTGTTGTATTGATCACGTAGGCCGCTCACTATTGTTCTCATGCAGGACTTGAAACGTTGGGAACGTGTCCTTGAAGTTACATGAACTTCCACCGCACCTCGGCGCTGTGGTTTCACCGCGCTGTTGTAGCCACAGGTTGTGACCTGCTGCTTGCTGTCACTTTTAATGTCACTCTAAAAATGGCAATTCGGCAAAAATAATAATAATAAAATTCCTGTAACGCTGATAGAAAACAGCGTGGACTGAGCACAGTCAGTGCCGCTCAGAGGAGACTCAGTCCATGACGTGACGCCTGCACGAGCACATGCGTCGCCATGACGGAGTTCCCCCGTGAGTACACGTTTATATGCAGCCTCTTTTCCCATCAGTGCAATTTTAGTCCCTCTCTTTCTCTTTCTGTGTGCGCGCGTGCCTGCGTGCGCGTGTAGCACAGTGCATGTGTGCGTGCGTGTGTGTCAGTCATTGGGGTTCAACAATGTTTATTTTGCAGTCAAATCAGTAATAGTGACACAGTACTGTCTCAAGGGACCTGGTTTTTACCCTAAAAAATTCCATAAGAACCCCTAACAAACCCACATTTGGTTTCTAATTTAACTAAAGTAAAATGAAGAAACAAAACTTGATTTGATTTTTGAAGTGGAAAACAAGAAGATAGAGCCCTGCAGCAAAAATAAATAAAAACTTTTGTTTTTTACATGAATGCAATGTTACTTGTTACATTTGAGCGCCCTGCTGACTCACTAACTCAGGACTCTATAACTCCTTCCCTTTGACAACTGTCCATGAAGCATATGTGTGGAACTATATTCTGCTCTGGGGTCAGTGGCTGACAGTGGCACAGGACACAATTTACAAGCACAGTGAAGAATTGATTAAAGTGAACATCAGCAAATTCTGCCTGCAAAAGTCTTGCAGTCAGTCAGGAAACTGAAGTGAGAGGAGCCTGACCTTTCAATCTCCTAGTCCCCTGACTTTTACTCTAGTCTGTGAAAAGTTGTTTTGGCAAATGTGCGGTTGATTCACAACAGACACCTAAAAATATCAAGAGATATCTAAAAATATCTCACCCACTCAAATGAAAGAAAGAGTGGGTGAGGTTTTTAAAATCAGAGACAAAAACGTGTTTTTTCAACTGCTCACAAACATTGGTCAGAATCACATGTCAAAACTCCTCACAGAGTCCCACGTGGAGCAAACTGAATTGCTTTTCATTGCTTTCACACAAAATGCATTCAGTGACCACAGTCACTGTCAAATTCATGAAATCTTTTCTCTTGTTCCCATTTTTCAAATGCCAACACACTTTGTTCAAATCAGTTCATCTGACAATGATCTCCATTATCAAATGTTAAAGGGGACATTATTATGGAAATATCACTTTTTGAAGGCTCTTTAACATATATTTGGGTGTTTGTCCTGCCTTCCAGCCCCTTAATGTGAGAATTGGCAAAATCCTCTGTAATTTGCTCCACAGGTTGAAATCCATGTGGTTTTATGAACTGTTCTGTCAGTTGTCAGACAATGATGTCATTAGTTTTAAAATATGCATTAATACCACCCCTACCTGAGAGTACCGGTACCAGTAGAAGGGGCAGGGTGGGACGAGCAGTGGTTCATTTGCATTTAAAGGGACAGGGCACTGAAACCAGCCGTTTTAAACAGGGCTGTTTTGAGCGGATAAAAGAGTGCTGTGATGTTTGATCCTTGGGGTATTTGACCGAAGCATGTCACAGACATGTCTTTAAGACACCTGGGAACTATTTTAATTTGTGGAAAAGGAGCATAATATGTCTCCTTTAAGAGGACCGAGGGGGTAAGGAGCAACCATCACTTCATTGTAAGTGTTATATTATTATCCTGCTAAATTGAGAAAAGTGAGAGCTGTCTGCGATATCTGGGCAGAACCTGTTGAGTAATATTCTCACATCTTCTTGAAACACGTCAGCAGTACTGGACTGGGACTGACCTGCCCTCTGGTAACGGAGGAACAACCTGCCGCTGAGACAGCCTTCATCGAGTGAGGGATGTGGGAGAGGATGTTGAGCAAAGGTAGATTCTCACACACACTCACTCACATGCTGTGGCCATTTACCTGCAACTTCATATTGGTCAATACAGTCGACTGGCAACACCTTTGTACTTTCACATATGCCTCACACACAGAATGAGTCAACACAGTAGAAACAAAGTTTAGTCACCACAGAGAACAACATTGTGAATATTGTGAGACCAAAGTCAAATCTGCCACACTTAAATGCTCTGCACCCTGTCCTTTTAGAGGGCTACATGTAAACTGTGTGTTAAAAGAAATGAAGTAGATTAATGTGCAGTCTATCTGTAGTTGGAAGAGTTGCATTAACAAACTGTTAAGTGTCAACTTCATTGTGTAAATATATTTTTCAAATTCATAGCCTTCATAGCATTTCAATCAGTCTTTTGTCTCTCCAGTACACATGATCATATTGGGGTGACAATGAAAATACAATTGATCAGTCAACACTCGTTTAGACCACCTGCACCCTAGGCAACAGTTTCCAGACCCTGTCATCACCTTCAGGGTTTTACAGCCGCCCCCAGGTTGGAAACCCCAGTGAATGAATGTGTGGGAAAGTTGTGTGAAGGGTCCTCATGAAGAAATGTGTTCCTAACCAGCAGCCACAATGCAGCACCCAGGAACCAGCTCCACTTCTGCTGCCATTACCTGGATCTAAAGCAATTGTGGGACGCTTCACAAAGGTACTGTACCTGGACACTTTACTAGGCACGCCTGTACAGGTGATGTAATCCAGTACAACAGCTCTGCTGCCTATCCTGTCTTTAAAAGAAGCTTATAATGTTCAACAAAAACCATCTGAGAGATGGTGAATGCAACTACGTGTCCATTAGTGGGTGGCACGGTGGTGCAGTGGTTAGCACTCTTGCCTCCCGGCAAGACGACTCTGGGTGTGATTCCCAGGCCTGGGGCCTTCCTGAGTGGAGTTTGCATGTTTTCCCCATGCGTGGGTTCACTCTGGTTACTACAGCTACAGCTTCAGCCCACAGCCTCACAGTCTGTTAACATGCACACTAGGTTGATTAGTGACTAAGATGCTCTGTGATAGACTGGTGACCAGGGTTACTACAGTTAACTAAAACTAGCGGTGAAAAAATTATGTGAAACTAAGAAACCTAGTTTGAGTTTCCATAGAAATGGCTAAAGTTGCAGGAAGAAAATGCCACAGCCCAATACGGGATTATTTCAAGTACAACCCCCAGGTAGATAAGAGTAAATGTATGGTTATGAGGACTGATGGGAACGTTTGTGTGATCCAACTAAATGGGAAAAAATCCCACAAATTTGAGAGTTCATCTTGGGAGCTCTCACAGAGAAGCCTCTACACATCATGGCTTTCCTCGTGACAAACTGAAACTAAGACTAAAACTAACAAAACTAAACCAAAACTGCTTCATCACTTGTTGCACTAACTAAAACTAAACAGAAATGAAAAAGCAAACTGAAAAACTAAATAAAAACTAATGAAAATTTGAAAACAATAATGACCTTGCTGACCTGTAACTTTAAACAGGGAGTGGTTCCAGCCCCCCGATGACCCTGCACAGATAAGTGGTGTAGATGATGGATGAATGTTCATTAGTGAGGTCATATTTAGTGGTTGTACTGAACTATATCGAAATATGCTGTATCAATATTTTCTAGGGCTGTCAAAGTCAACAGAGTGAGGCCGGGTTAATGTCACTTCTTTTTTACACCACAGTTTTTTGATGCCCACATTACACAAATTCCAATACTCTTACTTTTGGCTCGACCGATAACATGAAGTGTTACTGGAGAATATCTGCCATTTTTTTTGTTTAATATATAATAGGTGCATTTGCATACAGCAATCAAATTTATACATTATAGAAATATCCATTTAAGGTACATTTTAGGCACAATAAAAATGTGCAATTAACTTCCAGTTAATCATGATTAAATATGTTTTATCGACTGACAGCCCTATTATTGTCATCTCTCTATGTTTGGCTGAGCTGTTACATTGGGTTACATCTGATATTGAACTGTAGATGCATTTAATGAAGAAGTTGCTGATTATTATTTTCAGCTCTTGCTTTTGTGGTCTAACCTCTACCCTGATTCAGAGCACAGCAGGTGTGAAGCTTTGTGTACATTTGTGTGACTGAATGACATTTGGATTTGACTAATATTGCCACAGTGACGTTAAACAAGACACATTTACACGCCTACATAGTGACTGGGGTCCCACCACGTCCCACCTGCTGTGCAATTAAAAAACTGTGTATTTTTTATTAATATTATATTCATATGGACAGTGGCTCCTGGTAGAGAATGTGAACACTTAGCTGGAGTGCTCAGAATGAATAACATTTAGAAGAGATTTGATTATTAAAATGAGCCCTGAGAGGCTATGACTCATTTACCCTCATGCACTGTGCACTCTGGTGTTAGACTCTGAAAACCCCCTGTTAAACTGTTATTGTAGACATGTAGGTGTTTCTCAAGGGTCTTTTGAGAGGCATCACAAAGTCTTAGTGGTGTCAGTATTCAGAATAATTTCAGTACTGAAACACACTGAAATCACACTTTGAGTAAATGTCAAAAACTACATGAGCAAAGAGGAGATTTGAATTAGTTAACGTGACAGAGGCAGTGGAAGATAAACAAGAAAAGGAGCCTGGTTAAATCTATATATTTAATTCATTTCCTCAACTTAACACCAGCAAAGAAATGGTCACAAACATGATGACTACATTATTTTGTAGATAGTTTCAGTTTCCTGTTGACTTTTTTTTTTCCTCTGGTGAACTATTGCATATTCATAGCGGCAATGTGGATGTGGAAACGCACCACACAGACACCGCTCAGAGGGTCTGAAACCACATCCTTAGTCACGCCACTGATGATGACGCCTGCGACGCAGGCTCAGCGTTCTTCCACTAAACGTTCTCACACGGGCAGCGGTGTGTCAGTGACTCTGTTAGCTAGCTGACTGATTAGGTGGCAGGATTAAAAAATCAAACTGAGGTAAGATTGTCGCTTCTTTTAAGATTTGTTCAGTAAAAACTAAGAGCGGTTCTTGTTGCGATGTTTACTCATTTGATTATTTATTAACAATTTATGAACTTGGAATTCTGAGAAGTAAACGGAAAAATGAAAATGTTCTTTTATGGATGTATGTGATTATTTTTATTAACGTTGATAATGTTTCTTCACAACATCTGATGCAGTAGATATATTTTTCAACCTTTGTTTAAAGAACTATTTTCCCATTTCTAATCAACTATGAGATGGGTTACTCTTACAACAATTTTTGGTCATTGAGTATTGAACTGCAAGTGTTGATGTTTCTACTTTTACCACAGACAAGTTTATAACAAACTTCTGTAAAACAGTGTCTATTTTTAGTTTCAGCTGCTGTGTTTCCGTCTGTCTATCCACCTGCTGATAACAGCAGGTTGTCCCCATGGCGCTGAAGCCTGAGTTCTTATTGTTGCTGTGGGGCCTCACTGTGTTCACTCATGGTGAGTCAACTTAATCAGTGTCTTTATCTTGTATTTTGAGGGACAATGTGGCAGAAATGTAAGATAAGATCAGGTGTTTTACTCCTCGCCTATTCTCAGTGCGGATATCTGTGTTGTATGAATGTTAAATTTAGTAAATGCAACTTCGCCAACTGACATGTTTATTTTCTTTTACAGTCACGTCTTCATGCAACGTCACCTGCTCAACGGACTATAACGTTTTGCTGAATTGTTCCTGTTCATGCTCCGCGCCGACACACCCTGTGATACTCCAAGTCACCTGCAGGTACAAACTATTGTTAACATGGCTGGTAATGAATGTGTTTGATGTAGCTGTAGCACTGGCTTGGATTTAGAGGTCTTATAGAAGACATCTGTTGATTTTTCCAAATAAATGACCCCTAATCATTGCAGCTGTCATATCTTATCACATCAGTGATCTTGTAAGAAGCCCAGTGTCATCTGATGTCGTCATGGGGCAAGCATTAGAAAATGAAGACGCGTAACTTACACAAACCCTGCAAAAAAGGGTTTGACCTCCACTCTGTCAGTCACTTTCTGCAGGGCCTCATACATCATCAGGATATTTCAGTGTTGCACTTCTCACTGAAGTGATGATGTAATCTCATCTTGACTGATTTAGCATTTTAAAAAACTTCTTTATTATTATTATTATTATTATATGTCATCATCTGTAACTTTGACACAATTGCAATTGCAACCAGGACATGTCACCTATTGATCCCAACATATATACCTTAATCCTCATGAACAAACAATGTCATTTAATGGCAACAGTGTTTTTAAATTGCTGTTAAGACTGGACTATACACTATTTTGTTAATTGATTAATCCTTTAAGTTATTTTTCATGGAAGGTACCAAACAGTTTCTTGTTTACTGCTTTGTGCTTCTCTTTATCATATATGATAATGAGCTCAGTAACCTTGGGTGCTGGCCTCTTGAATGCTGTGAGAAAACTAGCATCTTCTGATCCTTTTTCTTTTCTATAAATGGCAAACTACATTCATTATTGATAGTCTATGATCAATAATGACTGTACCTGCACTGCATCACTGTTTTTCTGTTACAGTGGTGAGGAAGACGAAGTTGAAGGCAGCTGTCAAGTCAGACCGCCTCAGTCCTGGTGCGTGATGCATCCGGTGGACCTCTATGACGTTGCATCCATTGGAACCAGGTGTAGAGCCACAGTCAGACAAGAAGACGGCAGAGTAATATGGAGTGAGTCATCCAGCTGGGCACTGTCTGATGTGGGTGAGTTAACAAGATGAGCTGACCTTTAAATATTTGCCATTTTCACAGAACAGATAGGACGATAACACAGACATGATGAAAGGTCACTGACATCAGCTACGACATGTTTTGTGGCATCAAATACAGAATGTGTTTGATATTAACTTCTTTTCATCCAGCATGAGCATCAAGTGTTTTTACACATTGTAAATACTCATACAATTAATAAATATAACCAGCCTGTAACTTATATTATTTACTAATTACTGCACATTTAAGTCTAGAGATGACAGGAATCATACTGGCAACTTTCCCACTCGTGCATTTAGTAGTAAACACCCACCAGCCAAATTAAGATTAAAGCTAAAAATAATGTCAAACTGCCATTTGTGGTGTAGAGTATTATTGGCATACCTGCATTTTCACCTTCACAATATTTCCCCCGGCCCCTTTGGGACTTTCACAGTGAAAGCTCAGCCACCCTTCAACGTTACAGTGTCAAGCACAGATGGGGTCTACAACATCACCTGGGACAGCCACAAGGAACAGGACTTTCTCACGTACAAAGTGCGCATAAGAGAGAGCAAAGACTTGTCAAAGGTAACATCAACAAAAGCACAAAAATGAAATAAAACAGAGAATGAAATAGAGATTGTGTTGCATGCCGTTGTTGTCATGTTTCTCAGCTGACAACTCTTTTGTGAAGCCACTCTGATTTTTGTTTTTATTTTTTCTCATTCCTTCCCAACAGGATCTGGTTTTTTCCATTACCAGTGAAAAAAATTACATTGAACTAGAAAAAGACAAACTCCAGCCGCATGTCAACTATACTGTGGATGTCCAGGCCAAACTGTTTGGCAGTGTTTATTTTGGGCCATGGAGTGAGTGGAGCTCTACTGCAGAGTGGAGAACAACTGGAACATCTGGAGAGATTAAAGGTAAGAGAAGATTGTGGCTTCCAACTTGGCACCATGGTGTGATAAACTTTTTCAAGTGAAGTCAGATTATTGAGGCTGGTCATGTGATATTTTAGTCTTTCCATGCTTGAAAACCTGCACCATCTATTATGGATCTCTTCAGGGAAGCTTTGTACCAACATCTGAAAAACAGATTGTTTATTATGTCATATTTTTTTCATACATACTAAAACATTATCTCTCCTTCACAGGAAA